GATTGTTCACGCTACAGCGAAGCCATCGCAATTTCTCTATTAACTTCGTTTCGGCCAATTCGCGTGGCATATCAGCGCCGCGAATGATCGATCGATCCGCGCGCCGTGGAGATCGCGGAAGGGAAGTATGGCACTTCATATTCCCCGCGGGGGAGGAAAAAAGGAACGAACGATCCGTTCTCGCGGCTTTTGTTCCGTTAATGATTTTCAAACGATGAAAGACCGAAAGGAAAAAGAACGGAAACAATGATATAGACATCAAACAACAAGTTCCGCGTTCGAATCCGTGAATCGTCACGCACGAGAGAGATTTTCATTTGAGAAATGGGGACCAAACCGAGGGGATGCGCCGAAGAAATTTTCTGCACGAAGTGCAAAGCGCACGGTGTTCTCACGAAAAGTCTTTTTTCGTTAGAGAAATTGTAAGTAGAACCGTCTACCCGCCTTGTTAGAACCGTTGCTGCCCCTCTTATTTTCAGCGACCAACCCCCCAGCCACCCTCTGTAGCATTTTGATCACTCGTTTGAACCAGAACAGAGAAAGAAAACATAAAAGAAGTATTTCTTGTTTGATGATAATACCGTGTCTCTCCAAAAACCCCGTAAACGTAGCTGGTTGTATTATATTCACCCCCTTTTTCTCCACGCTTTTCTATCTCTTCTGTGCCACTGTTTAACTCTCACGAAGGTGGACTGTCTGGAGACCCGGATTGAAACGACATCACGAGACCGAAGTGCCATGCTGTGAAATTCTCCGAGCCAACGCCCCCGAACCCACCCTCTTTGTCACCAGCCCCCTTTTTTCGACCACTTGTATCTGTCTCTCTTTTTCACGTTCTTTGTTCTTCTTTTCTGTTTTGTTCGTTTCGTTTCGTCTGACCAAATCCCCTTGTACATTACTGTCAACTCCCCACAGTTGCTCGCACAAGTAACCGCCCATTCATTTGCATGATATATTTCACCAAGTTCGGTAATGTTCCTTTGATAAACTGCTCGTGATTCTAGTCGAGTATATCATAACTTGACACTGGAACTTTTGGACACTACAGATTCTTCTTTTATTATTATCGAAAAGATACAAATGATTTGTTTAGAATTTTTTTCGATTTAGTAATAAGTTGATTTTAATGTTTCAATCTTTGAATTTGAATTTTTAATCCAATTACTCGATAGTTCTACGTAGCGTTGAAATATACGAATCCGTGACAACATGAATTATACCAAGATACTCCGATTAATTCTAATATTCGTTAAATACGTGAAATATATCAAGTAAACAGAAGGGCGGTTAATTTTGCAAATATTTGTACATACACACAATCTAGTACTGTGATGCGAAAAGGAAGAAACGACATACGAATTCTCTTCTTTCCACCCCACTTTGTCTATGTTTTGTATCGTAACCAACCTTCCAACCTCAAAACATCCCCCACGTTCAAGCCCCATGTGTCCCCGTGAAAGAGACGTGAAAGCGAACACGTACACGCGTCTACGATGTCGAAATGGGAACGAGCGAAATTGATTTTGCACCGATTCGCACGCACCACCGACTGTCAGTGTCCCCCCTCTTGTCATGGTGTTCAATTGGGCCTGTAAATAGCGGATCCTTTCTGGCGGAAATCTGTTCCTCCTACCAGCGCACCCCGAAAAACGCGTACTGATCTATTCTTGTCGCGCGATCGCCGCGATAAACTGGCCGCGCGCGTTCTAATTGAACGGTATCGACTAATAGAAACACTTCTATCATCGAGAAACCATCGATCATAGAGACACCGAGCAACCGTTGAATTTTTCGGTCTCAAAAATCAGACACAGTACTTTTATTAACTGGTCGAATCGAAATCTTAGACACCCAACGAATCAGCGAGAGGAACAGAGTTCCATCGATCCAGGAAAGGGATTGTAGTGGACGTTTTACAGTTTCTCTTTACTTTTTTTCTCTTCACCCTCTGTGGACAAAGAGCTGATCGTGACCAGCCCGCCCCCTGATTGGCCAGAATGAAATTCACATCCCATCATCGCTGATCCCCTCTCCCGACCAACCTGGAACCTCTATCTTCCAACCCTTTTCTTTCAATCTATGTGCAACGCATAATGTCTCTCTCTCTTACTTTACTTTCTCCCTCCACGTCTCGAGTCCTCTCGAATTTTCCCTCTCCGTTCCGCGAGCGGAGTATCGACGGAACGGGGGAAGGTAGGGGAGGCTCGAGGCGGGGTAGGAGAGAATCCGACAAGTGGCTTTCCGGAGGAAGTTTTACCTTTGAGGAAGACATCCCGAAGACACTGGAAAATCAATTCGTTTGAGAGACCCTCGGAGAAAGCCGGCCACTTCTCCGGGAGACTTGGGCGGTTGCACCGTTTCCCGCGAATCGGAGTTCGGTAAAATGCGATCTAATTACGTGTTGCTGACGATGATTTGAATTGTAGCGGTCGATTCGATAACGCGTCGGTGTTGCCGACATTGTATTATTCTCTGTGATCCTCAACTGTCATCGGTGTACGATTGAAGTCGAGCCGATCACAGAGAATTCTTAATTAACCCTTTGTAGATGAGGATTCTCGGGAGCATTAGAAACTAAATGAAGAACTAAATGAAATCTGTAGCTCTAGAATGGCAGAAATTAAGAAAACTATGGAACTTTCGTTATACATAGTTAAACTCTTTGGTTCCAGCTTTCGATTGTAATGATGTGAAGCTGATGTTGCAAATACGATGGAACTCATCCTCAAAGCGTTAACAATTCCAGATTGGTAACTTGCGATCGAATAAAAGCTGCGTTTCAGTCATCGGTCTTAATAAGTGATCAAACGATATTTTGCTGAATTCTGCCGCGGAGCTAGATCGTTCCGGTGCATCCCCTAACGGCTGCCGGATCGGTGGCGGTGCACAGCTGACGTATCGTTGGGACATTAATTCGCGTTATTCCGTTCCGCTGGCTCGGACACGCCTGTCGATGTTAAACGATGACGGCGTCGTCGCAACGGGACGTCTCCGCGAGCACGGGGCAACGGTTTCTTATGCGACGCCGCGTTCCGATGGCCTCTAAGCTCGATCGATGCGCTGGGACAGATACATTGTGATCGGTGCCCCGTGGATCGATCACGGGAACGATGTTTCACTTTGAAGAGCGACTGCTCTCTATGTCCAGACGGAAAGAAAAACGACCGTGGAAAGGGAGGAACGTGGCTTTCAATTGAAAACGCTCGGAATGTCTTATAACCTGTTTTTCGGAGGGAAAACGTATCGAGTAAACTGCAGTCGTAATAGGTGTCCGTACCATTCTCGTCACGTTGTCAGTTTAAACTGATTGGAATGGGTTGGGCAGTTATTAAGATTAGACTATGGATCTTTATGAACACTTTGATGAAATGTTTTATAAACATTTAGATAGAAAAAAGATATTTGTATATTCGGTTGACGTTTATGATATAATCACTTGTAATCACAGTATACATTGCACTCGTTTAATTTCTATTTTAACTGAGAACTTCCTAATTGCAATCCGATCATTCAAATTTTAATACTTTGTACTTCAATGATACGAATGATTGCTGAATAATATATTCAAAGCAAAGTATAAAAATATATTGGAAAAATATTGCTCAACGATACCCTGAAATCATCACAGATATCACCTATTTCAGAATCGACACACAAATTCTGCAAAGCTGTAGAGTACAACAAATGCATAAAGATCCCTAGCCACTGAAACCATTATCGGTATCTCGAATCACCTTCGAAAAACCAGGCTATAACACCGGTCACGTGTGTAACAATCACTTTACTTGTCAGCTATAGCTTCGTTGTGTTGTCCTTTTGTTTCACACACTCGTAATTTGTTGATACGTGGGTGGGACGTTCGGGAAATACATGTGTAAGATTGATCTAGCCGCTGATCCCTCCCGACAATCTTTCATTCGCCATTTATTCCCATCTTCCTCATATCCCCTATCTCCGCCGGTGCGTCCACTTTGTCTCCATTTTCCGTCGCGACCATCTCCCCAGAATCCGGTCGCGAGCATTTTTCCCGTCCCGTTCCCGATCCTATCGCAGTTACCTGGCATTGCAGTTAATCAGCAAGCCAATTTACTGTCAATCTCGACCCGTCGAGTGGCTCGCTAACCGAACATC